ATATTTATTTATTTATTTCACTTTTACGCGCACATACATCTTTTAAAAACAGTGAGATCAACAAGATTAAGATTAACGATGATTTTCAACAATAGGTACAGATTAGTCAAAAAACAACTGGATTGTTTGAAGAACACGATTCAAGAATTCATTGAAAAAACTGAAAATCAAATGACCGTTAAGAAAGAATAGACCCAAAAAAAAACGAAATAAATAAAGAATGAAAACAAGTCTGCTATCAAATTTGAATGATGCCATATAACAACAAAAATAAATTTAAAAATAATAGGGTAATTGCATACTTATTGTTTTGCATTTGCAATGAACGATACGCATCTTCTAATAAACGTTGCCACTTCACACGATTCTCCAATTCAGCCACATAATCAGCAATTTTTTCATGTGCACACAACAAATCCTTCAAGCTCTTCATTCTTATGCTATTTTAAATTCATTTATGCAAATTTTCAAAGCATATTTCCCATTTACACCGCTAATATTGATAATAATCAGATGTTCATTAATATGCCATCCATCCAGATAATTATTGTAGAGTGAGCCTTTGGAGATGGATACTTATCAAATAGGGCGACTACAAAATATCAAATGAAAATCGCATAGCAATCACCATACAATCGCTTACCTACACACTGTTGCACCTTACAAGGGAAGGTTACGAACTGAACCCAGCGTTTCGGGATGAGATATACATCAGACTGTAGAACTCCTCGAACTGATCACGAATATGTAAAAAATTTTTTGCGAAATACAAAGGGGACGCGAGATATGGCAGGGAAAAGATTTTCAGTGTATTGAAATGATGTTTTGATTTTCAGTTTGTCAGCAGCGCCTTGGCCTAGTGGGTAGTGCGCCAGCACTGGTTCTGGATGCCTGGTGGGTCTATCCTGCGCGACGGTGGAGCCTTTTTACTCATACATTTCTAACATATTCAAACGACCACGATATTTTGCTTCACCCTCCCCTCCTCCCCCCCCCCTCACAGCTTTTTCAAGTTGTGGGTATATTCTTCTTTTATTTTTTGTTCTTTTGAACGTTGTAATTTTTTGTTTTTTTTAACGTATCATCGTAATGTGCATATCTCTCCACAACAAAGAGATTGAAACATAGATGGAATTTACAAATAATCAGATACAAACAATCAGAAGAGATCTCAAATTTTTTAAACATGTAAAAATGTCTCCATAAAGAAAAACAGAAGTTATGGGGAGTGAAGCAAAATATCATGGCTGTTTCAATATATTAAAAATGTATGAGAAAAAAGCTTGGCCGCGGAGCACAACCACCAGGCATCCATACATGGTGCTAGCGCACTACCCACGAAGCCAAGCCGCCGCTGACATGTCAAAAATCACAATATCACTTCAATACACTGAAAATCTCCCCTCCCCCCCCCCCCCCCATATCTCGCGTCCTCTTCATATTTCGCAAAAATTTTTTACATGTTCGTGATCAGCTCGAGGAGTTCTACAATTTGATATATATCTCATCCCGAAACGCTGGGTTCAGTTGGTGACCTTCCCTAGATGCTTGATCAAATAGACTAGAGGAATGACACTGTGATCATTATGAAGGAATCACTAACTAGACCGCAGTATTACAATAATTCTTTTCTTATTAAGAAGGTTAATCAAGGGCTCTATGAACGCTTTTTTATTTCCTAATATGCACATAATTTTTCTCTGATTCTAAAAATCGAGTTAAAGTAAATAGTTTCGTCAACAGTTTACTGCATTTCATTTTAGGACTCTTACGATTAAATACTGAAGAAAATCACTTGTGAATATTAAATTAAAGAAGGATTCGAATAAAACATGGAAATGATTGAAATATTTGTCTAAGGGGTTGGTTGGGCCAAACTATAAAATGCATTAAGTCTAAGTAATTCTTTTTGATTCCATTTTAGCCTAAATGATTGTATGTAATTTATTAATATACGAGTACTATCACTAAACTGTTGTTATGGTTACTGATATTAGTTACGTAGCATATAAAGGGCCTTATTTTTTAATGATAATGCAGATATTCTGCATTGTGCAACTTCAAATAATCATCACACACTAGATATTATTATGCGCTCAGAAACTATTCCCAAAAATGGCACATCGATTTATGAAGTAACTTAAATATTCGTCGAACTAGAAGAAGAACAGCAGTCCAACAACCAACACTACCTTCTTTCTATTCACTACAAAAATGACTGAATGGAATTTACGTACTTGTTCCATGCTAACATTGTCCATTTGTAAGTGTGCAATTATTGTTTCATATGTGTTGCTTTCTTTATTTTTTCCGTTAGTTTCAGAACTTTTCTCATCTTTCCCTTTGCATACGTTGTTGTCTGATATTGTCTGAAGAGTTATCATCAATGACGCATCTTACGATATAAACAGCCCCAATCAGATACGGAAACATCTTCGTTTCATGTGCAAAATGAGTTTTGATATGGTCGGCGGAACCAGATATTGAGTCGCTTATTTTGCAATATTAATTGGTCAAAATCAAAGGCCCATTGATATAACTGATGATGATTCTAAGTGAGGAAATAAATTTCTGCATAATAAAAGCCAGGCGTAAAAACCAAACAAGAAATTCTGAAGTTTCAACGCGTACTGTGCACGATAATTATCGATACACAAATTCGTTTACAGAAAATTGTCGACAAATCAAATGCTCGCACTAGGTTTAGCCTTAAACGAAGATTTCCGCTTAGTCCTATGGGTGAGTGCTAGCTTTGCGCTGACATTCAAGTTTATCTTATCTATCAAATGATACTCGTCCAGTTTTTAATAAACCCGTTCGAATATGATAATGTAGAGAAGAAAAAGTAACCTGTGAGCCGCATTCACATCGCGTAGGCGACATCATCGGAATGCGCAACGAACGGTTCGAAAGAGAACAATCTTCTTCACAGAGATGCTCGCACGACTCAGATCGCTCCGAGTTATTCGTATCAGAAAATTTTTGATGACTGATGAGTACGCATCGAACATCAGATGCATTTGCAGCACTAACAATTTCATCGGTAACTTCTTGAACTGATAAAACATCAGAGCAAACTGTAGGCTCCATCAACACCTGTTCAGTGACAACTTTCTTCTCAGAGTGTTTCTTCATTACTTCGCTTTTCAACTCAGTTCTCTCGCAATGCGACATTGTTTTCACTTCCGGATCCGTTGAATATGGGGCATCACAATCATTACCACCATCAACTTGATCATTTTCAGTTTCACTCATCTCACTGGTATTTTTTATTGCTGTTTCTAACCGAACCGTTTCATCTTGTTTTTGTCTTAAGTTTTCCTCCAATTTCGTCGAATTTTCACACAACGTACCGATTTCCAGCTCAAGCTCCCTATTTCTTACCATAGCATCATTCAGCATTTTAAGCAAATTTTCCTTCTTCTCTTCAGTCATATTGTTGTTTTTGACTATTCTGTAATTGTCGCCCATAACTCCCTCAAGACGCTTATTTTCAGACTGCAACTGCGCAATAAGTCTCTGCATACTATCTCTGACGTCCTTCGCATCAGTTCGCAGTCTGCCATTTTCATCTTCGAGTTCTTTCACTCGACTTTTCAACACTTCAACATCTACCATTGATTTCGATGCATTCACGTTTAGCTGCATTCGTAACTCATCTAATTCGACTGTTAAGCGTTGCACTTCGCACCGCTCTGTGCGTCTACTTGTCGCTAAACTGCTTCTCAACTCGGCATTTTCCACTTCCATTGCATCCGCCTCCGTCCTTAACTCGTCGAGTCGTGCTTCCAACTTCAAATTTTCGGTCTCCAACATGCAAACACGCCTTTCCGCCAAACTATTGTGCTGCAGCCGTTCCTCCTCCAATTGAAGATGTAATTTACGATTTTCATTCTCCAACTCGGTGACCCGCAAACTCAATCCATCGTCAGTTCTAATTGATTTCGACGATTGCTCATCAAGCTTACTGCTTCTGTGAGCGACTGAAAAACTGTCTTCTCTTAACGAGCACGCCTTATTATCACCGTCATCAATTAACGTTTCCATCGCACAACTCCCCGTTTTCATCGTGAGCATCTCCTCATCTCCCACAGCGGTCAGAAGCGTTTCGAGTTGAGTTTTAATCTGCCGTTCGCATTGCTCAAAACTATTCCGTAGATTATCCAAACGTCTCACTTCCAATTTGAATGTTGAACTCTGAAAACATCGTTTTTGTTGTTGTCATCAATGAATAACGAAATGAACTTTTAATTGCACATGCCGATCCTGCACAAGTAAACGGCGTTGTTTATACAAATTTTAATAATATCCATTCAGCAGCAGAAAATCACGAGTAAATGACTAAGCCTCATTAGAATTATTCACGAAGCTCGAATGCGTGAATTGGTGTCGATGACTGTAACACTCTAACATCACTGTTATAATTATTGCCAAACACAGAAATGCTCGCTACATATAAAGATGAATGTTTAGAACTCAATAAAGCATGAGCGAAACAAGAAGCAAAAAAAAAACTCCGATGTGATTCAGACAAACAATCAATGAAATCAAAGAATAAATAAGTAAATGGAAAACTGTGATCCATTGAACTTTATTGACCGACTGAATTGAAGTGAGAATCTGCTTAATAGAAGAACATCACCGAAAATATAATATCATCGTTTACAACACATCAACTGTCCAATAAAAGAAACCAAAAATAAATGACCCACTAAATCAAGCCAACAATCATTTCAAGAATCTAGCAGAACGAATGATGGAAGTCGACGTGTCTAATTGTTTATACGAAAATACCCAATGCACAATACATAAATATAAGAGATTCAAGAAAGTCAATCCAATAAAGAATTTCTGCTTATTTACAAGATACAAAAGCAGTTTGAATCATTGATTCACATTTAGGATTAAGGTTAAGAAAAGCATCTAAGTATACGCTTGACAATGAATTATATTCTCAGAACGAACAAAAACTAAGCCTAACAGATGCATTTAACAGTATAACGAATATTACTATTTGCATATGAAAAATGAAGAGAATGAATACCCGACTTGGAATGGAAAACATTTTGAACAATATAAATGACGATTTGTGGAACATCTCAAATGAATGAATAAATATGCTAACGTAAACTGAAAGTGATTACAGCCGTCGCTCATTAACATCAATCCACAACAATAACGACACCGTGAATGATTTCGATTAGGAAATAAAACAAAAATGGCCATCATGCAACGTGAAGGTACTGAAAAAAAAAGAAGGAAATGAAGAAGAAATAGAAACAATCAACGATAATTCTTCTAGAGGGTGGAAAACAAAGTGAGCAGAGGAAGTGAGAAATAAATTTTGAAAAGTACCCGACTATAACCAAAAAACAAGAAAAAAGCACGGATAGTTGCTGTGGTATTGTGTTGAATTGTTCATTTGATTCGTTTTTTGAACCGTTAGTGTTTTATGTGTAATGCGCTCTTCCTCCGACGAACTTTATCGTCACTCTGAAAACATTAAAAATTCTTGTTTCAGTCAACAGAAATAGCAATCTGAGAAAGAGAATTTCTCAGACATATAGAAATTCGAATGAAATCAATTTTTTCTCCTCGCTTCCGCTCCCTTCAATACGTTCAGAAAACATATTGCTCGGAACTATCTGTCCAGCCATGGATTTCAAAAAAGAACTACGCAATGCAAAAATTTATCTGACTCATTCGACGTGCTCGAAACTCAACCGCAACACCAGCCAGCGAACAAAACTCGTTTAGCAGGAACTAGCGGAAGACGGAAATTTGCATTTCAAAAATGGCACTTTTTAAACAAACGAATGAATGGAAAACAAAAAATAAACATGAAAAAATTCAAAAAATGCATTACCAAAAGCAACAATACGTAAATGTGGACAAATAAATAAACACTCGGTCAGCATGAAAAAAATGTATCGACTGAACGTTCAATGGAGAAAAAAGATTTGAAAATTTCAAATTTTGCGCAAAAAAATTGTCTCTATCAACCATTTGTAAACGATGTTAAGACATCCCCAAGAGAATGCAAAAATGATGAATGCATACTTCTCAAGCGTTCTCATGCATACCGTTCTCACGAGTCGCTTGGATTCTCAACATTTACAATATGTAAGAACGGAACTAATCGAATAATTAAGCGACTGAATAAATAATTAATGAAATATTACTAACTGTAGCATGAATTTGATGAATTGTTGCGTCAAGACTCAGGTCTGAATTCACGAACGCAGGATCATCATCGCAGTCATCAGTTTGATTCACACAGGAAGGAACGACGTGATGATGACTATCGGAAGCGTGAACAGCATTTGAAATGGTTTGTGCTGGATGAGATGACAATTTCGTACAACCATCTACCGATAGCATTGATGACGAGGAATTTGTGCTGTTCAAACGTGAACGTTGCACATTCATCTCGTTTTCCTTAAACATCAAATATAACACAATAAATTTCGCCTCAGAACAATCAAATCACTAGACTTCGTACTATCAATGCGTTCAACAAAATTTTTTCGTTCCAGGTTCGAATCAAACACCGAAATGACTAGTTCTTACGTACTCAAATTTAGCAGCCAAATGAGATGAAATAAGTGAAATTCACAAACGTAACAGAACAATATTACATTAATGAATCAAAATCCTTAGATATATCCAACAAAAAGTGCCACTACCATGAGAGCAATACACTGGAAAATGAATAAATGCAAAACAAACCTCTTTGTAAGCATCCAATTCCGATTTCATTATTTTGATACGTTTCAATAACTGTTTCTTTTCAATGCACATTCGTTTGCGTTCACTTTCAATAGTCTCCATCTTTAAAACAGTAACGCTCAGCATGAAAAGGGTAACACACAGTTTAAAAACAAAATGAATGATTCATAGATAGAACAAGCACTTCAAAGAACCCAAAAATCAGAAGGATAACATATTATAAGACTGACTTTAGCAAGTAATTGTTGATTTTGTTGCATAACTGCTTGTAAATCTGACACATTTTCAGCAACTTCAGCAACATTATCCAGACTTTCATCGTTTATGATCTCAATCTGGACAGAAGCATCATATGTGGCCTTTGGTTTACTAGAATATGAACATATTATGCAATGAATGCTAGAATTTAATAACAATGTGTTCGTTCACTAATTAAAATGAAATTATATCACAGCAATCTTGGTTGATTGGGACCTATAAAAAGTGATAATTCTGTACTTCTGAGCCAATGTTTACTGCTCACAAAAATTAATTACTCCCTGTTAAATTAAAATTAAAATCAATTACTACCTGACTTCAGTCAGTAATCGGAAGTAATAGAAATGATTGGAAGATTTTCGAATTTTGCCTACAAGACTTTCAACTGAAGTGTGAACTTTCTTGGAGCCGTAGGAGACGATTTACTTCATTGACATTACAGACATAAAGATTATTGAGTCGTTCGTACAAATTTTCCGGATCCATTGAGATGCTAGAAACTACCGAAACAAAACAAGGAAAACAGTAAACTGAATAACAACCTACTCCTTTGCTGTGCGCTCCTTATCCAGTTCCGAATTAACGCTCTTCAATTCGATGCTTGCTTCTTCCAAAAGTCTCTCATATTGTTCCACCAGTTTATTACATTCTGCTGCATTCGATACTCCTTGATCAGCTAGCTGCTTTTTAACTATCTTCAGATCGTTCGTCAGTTGTTGATTCTCGACTTCTAATTCCGAAATCGCTTCTTCATATCGAGTTGTCGAATCCATCAATCGTACTTCAGAATCTTTCAACAACTCGTTCTGTTTTTTGGCTGATTCCAAAGCCTTTTCCAATTGCTCGACTTTATTCTTGGTCAACATGACAACATTATTCATTTCTGATACTTTTACACTATTTTTAGACAGTTCTTGAATCAGGCTTTCAACTTCATTCTTGTAATCCAAATTTCGTTTATTAGCCGATGCCAGTTGTTCATTCAACTTTGAAATAATCTCGCACTGTGTATTCTGCTGCTCCTTCAGCTCATCAATGATCACATCACTACCATTATTATTTATTTTATCCTCATCATTTATTCCAATTAAACTACTTTCTTGAGTCAACCCTTCAACTTCAGTTTGCTGCCCCAAACTTCTCGTTTGATTCGACTGTTGTCTTTGATCATGTGCTATCTTCTTCATAAATACTCCATTTTCTTCCTTTTCATATTCTCCCCAAAATTCAGCATCATCATCCATCAGACGTTTATTCAAATCAACATTCTCTTTCCTCAACTTGGAAATTTCTTTACGAAGATCTTGTATTAACATATCTGACGAAGCTTCAGAAGTTGTTGGTTGTTCCGCACACACGAACGTTTTGAAACCACTAACAGCCGTAATATTTTGTAATCTACCATTATCATCACTCTCAACAACAGACTTGTCAGCATTCCTGTCAGATTGATTATTTTCGAGATGATCGATGACAGCTCGTAGTTCCAAGATTTTTGCTTCCAACTGTTCATTTTTTTCGTCCATTTTGAATGCATATTCTTCGGCAGCATCTAAGCCATTCTCAAGATATGTTAGACGTGCACGTAATGAACGTTCGATTTCTTGAAGATGAACGTTCTCTTTCTTTAATTCGTCTATTAATCTCGAATTACTTTGATACCCGCTTTCAACACTCATAGAACTCACATCCTTGATGACTTCAGATTGGCTGGATGGTTCTCGAACAACTTCCGATAATGGTTCAGTTTCGTCGACAGCCACCTCATCCGACTCGCCCCATCCCCAGCCATCACTCCAGTCCTCTTCCCTATTTGTTGCCTCTTCGCTCTTCTCCTCTCCGTCCTGCTCCACCTCGCTTTTTTTCACTACCTCACTATCAATTTTAGCAGGTGCTATTTTAAAACACTTCTCATTTTCCCCTTCTACTGCCAACTGCTCGCGCACTTTATTGTCACACGTGAACTGCATATAATCATTCAGCTGCACTTCCAAATATTCTCTTTGTTTCTTTTCATTTTCATACATCGTCGATACACCGTTCAATTTTGCATTCAGTTCAACAATTTGATCTTTGAGCATTTGCTTCTCAGTCATTAACGAACCAACAAGTGTTTCTTCATCAATCAAACGTTCTTCCGAAATGAGCATCGTCTCATTATCGCGACCAGTGATATTCTTTATGTCATCACCTTTCCTCATTCCTACATCTTCTTCTTGCTCGGGCACATCTCCGTTTATCTTGCGTCGTTCAGAATCACTCTTCCATTCCGAATACAAGCAATTCGTATCACATCTTTGTACAGTTTCAACAATAATTTCATCAGCATCTTCATTATTCTCTTCGGATAGTTGCACTTCCGATGGTACCATCCGCATTAGCGTTGATATCTTTTGTTGCTTCTCTTCTAACTGCATTTTCAGTTCATCCATTTCATTTTGTAAACGTACGTTCGTATGCGCCAATTCGGCATTACATCGGAACAATGCATCGTTATCGACTCTTTTTGTGGTAAGACGTGCCGCTAAAATTGCCATTTCTGAATCATGTGCACTATTACAACAACAATCATTCATCATGTTATTTGCTTTAGTACTCCTATTACTATCACTATAAACACATTTCTTTACTCCTTTATCAGTCATCATCATATCACCATCCTCCCCAGTAATATCTTCCTCCCTCCTCTGCGGTAATTTCACAACATCACTCTTCTCCTCTTCATTCTTCGTAAGTTTCCTTTTCATACTGCTGTCGTTCATCAACGAACAGAATGGTGTAGTTGTTCCTTCATCAATACTTTCATCATCAGTTTTTATTTCTTCTGCAAACGCCGACATTATCTCCGCTCAACCATAAACTTACTCATCATAATTCCCAGCAATAGTAATCAGCTATCGATGATCGACTCTACTCAACGGGAAATCTTTGTCGAAACTCTCGTCTTTCTTGTGGAATATTCCTCATTAATTTGTAATTTAAACAACTACAACAATGACACAAATCAACAACCGACCAAATATTACATTCGCTCTTCGGATGAACTCTAATTCTAAACCTCAACCTAAACGCCTACAAGTAAATCACTTAATCAACGGTATCTCAGTACTATAGAAAAAGTCTATCCATCTGACGAAAGCATTGAAACAATAATTAAAAATAAAAAATGCTCGCACGCACCTTGTTCTTCCACACACTTTTTCGATTCCCCTTCATGCTCTAACTGAAAAAAACCACAGTTACGAAGCCGACTGCTTGTACTATTCGGGAGAAGAATCAATAAACTCAAAGTGGTTGCTTTTAAACTGCTCTAAGGATCAGATTCACAACATTTCCTTAAAAGGTTCAGTAATAAACAGTTCAATCAAAAAAAATTCTCTGTGATTATAATAAGAACATCAAAATCGAAAATTGAAATTGAAAATAATTTTGTGGGTGCGGATGAACAAATACGTACGCAAACACCAACCAGTTCAACTCTTTCTTGCAAACGCTGACATTTATCCACATGCCTTGTTAGTAAGACTTGTGTTGTTTCTAATAGTTGCTCCAATTCACTCGTATATTGCTTGTCCACTTTTTCCGCTTCTGCCTAAAAGATTGAAACTTAAGCGAATGGATATCCTTATGAATATCAACCTTTTCCATGTATAGGTAAATCTAATTACCTGTTGAAGTTTACTTTCAAGGGCACAACAAGTATTCCGCAATTCGCTGAGTGCTTCACGCGTCTCGTTGATCACGGCTTGTTTGTGAATGAGTTTTTCTTTTATCATTTCTAAAGTACTCGTCAAATTCCGCGAATCGAATATCGCTTCATTCAAATGTGTGGCGGAATAACAAGCTTCGTCATCATCCTAAAATCGCAAAATGAGACAAAGTAATGAATGCTGCAAACATTCAATAACACGCGAAGTAATTATTACTGATCTTAACTCCATCAGTACTATTATCTTTAAATACTATTATAATCGCGACACAGCGCACAATAAGTACTGATGCCGAATTTCACTCTTCCTATTGTGATCAACCTTTTCAATGAGCGCAATCCATCTGAAACCGTTTCTCGATCGCTTCGAATAAACAAAGTGAAGAGAAGCACTGACCTTGAACGCTTCATTGAGTAATTCTCGAATTGCTGAAATGTTGTCGGCATATCTCGCGTTCTGCACTTGCTCAACGTCGGCAACAATTTCAACAGCTCGTTCATAAATTGCTTTCAAACCACACGCCGTTTCTGCGATACTTTCCGTTATAGCCAACTGTAATTTGACGCTGATAAAATATTGTACGGGATGAAATAACAAACGAAGAAACAAATCGAATATTCACCACTCACCTTCAATCGAGCAATCTCTTCGGTCCGTATTTGCAATACTGAACGGCGCAATGTTGCCAATTCAGTGACGGCAAGCTCGCGTAGCTGTTTCAGTTGCGTATTTGAGTTATTTAATTGCATCTCTCTCGTTGCCAATTCCGTTTTCAGACGATCAATCTGTGTTCGTTTCATATTATAATAATTCTCATCGCAACTTCTCGATGACTGCGAAAACTGATTTCATTTAGAAAAACAATTTTTTGAAGAGTAATATCACTAAACAACAGAAAGTCCTACCAAAATATACGGATTGCAAAACAATGAATGGGTTCGTTTTACTACAGCAGATGCTCAGTCCCATCCGAATGAATTGGTAGCATGGATCAATGAAAATTTCGATGGACAAAAATACTCACCGAATCAAGCTGTTGGTCATCAAGCGTATGGTGCTGTTGACTATCAGCACGATCGTCGTCACTGCTGTTAACATTACTGGTCGTCATGATGCAGCTCTCCGCGTTATTAATATTCTGTTCACTGACTCTATCAACATTAACATCAGTTTCAGTTGCTGTATCACTCTTAGCTACACAGAAACGCGCATACAAGGCGTTATAGGCCTCTTGCAATTGCTGGTAATAGGTGGTCAGCAGTTTGTAAGCAGATTCGACTTCTTCACAACGCATCTCCATTTTTGTGCTCTTTTCTTGCCATTCCATTAAACGACAATTACTTTCATTTTCGGCTAACGCTGCCTTAAAGAAACGAAATGAACAAAAATTACAACATCCATTGAAAGTATTTTATACAATTCAATGAAATTGTAACTGATCATGAGAAGTGTGATATCGGTTCGCACCTGTCGCTGACTTCTTTCAGCCATATCCTTTTGATCTTCGAGCTGACGTTCCCTCTGACGAGCTTCCTCACGTTCGTTTTCTCTCTCTTTTGTTACCTTATACAATTGCGCCGTTAAACACTCGCGATCTGATAATGACTGCAACAGCAAATAAATAAACAATCTATTCTCTCGTGCTTGTTTTCAACATTAATGGTAATACAGAACCTGTCGCTGTAGAAGATGAATGAAGTAAGATGAAAAAAATGCAAAAAAAGGTAATAACAATATCCAGTAAATTATATTCGAAATAAAAATTCAAAAGCAATAGCAATGAAAATAAAATGAAAGGAGCTAAGTGCAAGAAGTGAACGTAAACGTACGGCTTTCAGCTGACTATTTAAGGCCCACAATTCGCCCTTCAACGCGTCTACAGCAGTTTCAAGTTCATTGTTCAACACCATCAAATGATGAACGTCTTCTATCAGATTATCTTGAGCACTCAAGTTCTCGACAGCATGCTCACGTAACAGCGCATTCTCACGTCCCATCAATCGCATCTAAAAAACTCACTTGAATCATTTATTCATTCCTCCAATGAATAAATTCGTTACATATACCACAATAATAGTGAAACAAAATCAACACGAAATGAAGTACAAATGAAAATAACAAGAAAAGAAACAGATATCAAATCTTACTTGAGCATTCAATGTGGAACCATTCTCCTTCACAAGAAACTGCTCTCCTTCCTCTTTTGTTGATGATCCGATAGCCGTATTCGTTGACTGATTTTCTTCATCAATAACTGCTGACTCATTGCTGCTACTACAACTAATCGATGTTGTTGTAACTGCTGCAAAACAATTCCGTTTAGGACACAAAGAGAAAATAGATAAAATGATTCGTCGATTTATTCACCGCTCAATCAATGAAGTTTTGCTAGAAAGTGACTGGTACACCAACGTCATCATTGGTATCAAGCCTGAACCCATCTATGATTTCACTTGTATGTAATTATATATTCATGCTATCATACTCAAGCAGTAAGTAAATTAGCATAAATCTCTACCAATTACATATTTTTTAGGAGAGCAGAGCAAAAACGGCAATGAATACAACAAATTAAACCGTGAAATGTTGTGTTCTAACCGTCGATCTGATGATGAACATCTTCGGGCGAACTTCCATTATCCACATCAACCTTCGGTGATACTGCTGATTGCGATGGATCATCGTTTTGTGCTTGTAACTGTAGCTGTTGTTCTTGTTGACTGGATAGTGACATCGGTGGTATTGGGTGTTGTTCTCGCTCATTTTTGTATTGATTCAGTTCATGAATCAGCTGCTCTCTTTCATTTCTATACTCTTCAATGATAGCTTCCAGTCGATGCGTCTCATCAACTGCATACTGAATATCGTTCAAGAGTGCCAAACACTTCCGCTCATTCTCCAACTCAATATCACTTTTACTCGCCTCATTCACAACACCTTCTTCCTCTTGGTCATCACCTACTTGCGTCGCATTTATACCTGTCGTTAATTGTACTTCTGATGACTGTCTGTCATTCACCAATCCGTCAACAATCCCATCATCGTCTCCCCATGCGAACTGCTCACTATCCTCAACGTTCTCATCTCGATTCTCGACCACCTTTTCACAATTCTTCAGACCACTGCTCGATTCCCTACCAACCAAAAGCGTCTCTACACCTCCAACCATCATCAGCAATTCCTCTTGATTATCAGCCGTTTGCGTGTGATCACTTATCTCATTATCCAAATGACCACCTTCACTCTCACTCACACTGCTGCCGTTGTTTGTAATTTTTATTTCGGTCATTTCATTTTCATCGTTTTCTCGTTTTCGTTCCTCATTATTGCTCACCAACATTGAACGAACTTTTGTCCATTCACTTGCAAGCGACTCTTTTTCTATATCAAGCTGAAAAAAACACTGAATGAATGTTGGCATTGCGGAGATTGATGAGCACAATTTCTTACTCTCAACGACTAGTGACAACTGAAGCGAAAAAAGTAGAATTTAACTCAATCTGAATGAGAGATACCTGGATGATCAACAAGGCAAAGAAAAGATCATGAAGAAAAACCTGTTGCTTGAGTGCCTGCACTTCATTATCAACAGCCTCCATCTCGGACATCGCCAACTTAGCATTCTCGAGTTCCTTTCGGTTCTTGTTTGCTTCATCTTTCACCGAGCACAATTCTTCTTCCATTCTTCGTAATCGATCTCGCAAAATGATCGTTTCGGATTCCATTTCTGATATCTGCACGGTACAGCGTATGAAGATAGTATATCAAATATGCAAAAATCAGCCTTCGATGTACGGCAAAAAAACCTTATTACGGTAATAAAACTGCAATGAATGTTTATTAGTAAACAGAAATGTATACATATATTGCTCTGCAATGATAGATACACATCATGCAATTTCGTTTTCAAACAGTGTTTACCTGATTTTTGAAATTCATTTCTGATTCTACACTGATTTCCATTAGTTCATCAATACGTCGTTTTTGCTCTTCGAAAGAACGTTGTTTTTCTTTGCTTAATTCCAAGAATTGTTCATCGGTTTCTTTCGCACGATTTTCAGCCAGCATCAGTTCAGACTTTGTCTCTTTCAATTCACGTTGCAATTCGAAATTAACGCATTCCATGTGCTGAATACGATCTGATGCTTTCTCGAGGCTTTCTTTCATTGCGCTCAATTCAGTTCGCATGCTCTCGATCATAACTTCACTCTTTTGATCATTCATTAACGTCACATCAACTTCATTTCCTGAAGGTGTTCATCAATTTATTCATAATTCAAATAACTGATCGATAAAATCACACCAACAGATCCACCAAAAAGGTGTGCCACATTTTCATCTCTATCTATTGCAATCAGTAGCAATTCTATTACCTTCTTTTCTTTCGTTATCATTTGTTGCTGCTTCGACTCTTCGCAAATTTAACAACTTTTCCTCATATTCAATTAATTTACTTTCACTCTGAAAACGGAAACAGTAATGAAAACATATACACATATCATTCGTGATATATACCGTGACCTCACGATCTCGATTTCAAAATATGTTCATCCCAAACAAACCTTATCAAAACAATATTCATAAATAATTTGCAGTAATGATAACGAGTTTGATTCCATTACCCATTCCAATTCAAAAGATCAATGTCGGAATAAAGACAAAATTGGCTCGATTTAGTGACAGATCAAAACTTCGTGCAAAAAAATCATAAGTAATTGAGCGATTCTTCTAGCTACGAATTTCATGAGTTCACTTAACAAATAAGATTCTAGCATCTTGAAATGACAATTACCCGTCAAGTCTCAAAAGATTACAAAAACTGGAAACCAATGAGACTTATTTCACTGCATAAGTTCATGATAACATAGAGTTGATCTAAGATCACCAAAAGATTTTCGGCAAAAATGTATCATCCAATTTGGATATATAATGATCTTCTCGTCCGAAGAGCTTCTTCATTAGTCTCAGCGATTGAAAGGCAACGAATTATTATGTGCTGTAGATTACAGTCGCAACCTAAACTACTCAGTAATTATAAATCATCAAAACAACAATAATAATAAATAATGAACACAGATATAACCTCTTGCAACGACGCAGTTAATGTCTCAATTAAACGACTTTGTTGTAAACGGATACTTTTATCGTCCTCTTCGGAACTACTGCTCACATTATTGTCATGAACTGAGTTGTTATGATCATTTTGTTCGACTCTATTCAGTTCTAATTGTAATTCATCTGATTTTGCTTGCAAACTTGCATTATCCTCTTCCAACGAACGAATTTTCGCATATAATGCCTTGATTCGAAGTCGTTCATCTGAAAACCAACAGAGATTGCTTCGAATATACGTTACGGCAACTGTGACTATAGGTGATAACAATGAGGTTTATCAATATCGTCATTACATTGCGAACAGTTACCACAAACTAGCTCTGTGCTTTTAATCAATGGTTCAACTTTCATCACACTGGCTCTTCGAACAGGCAAGCAGGTCACTCACTGCACTGGCTGGATAGCTGCGACCAAAATTGACTGCGGTGAAATTGCTTTTGAGTCCCTCTCAACAACGCAACATTTTTGCACTGCGTAGTTGTATGACACCAACATAAGACCGATCACTCTTTTTAGTCAGAAATACTACGATGATGTTCAACGTTCCGGCATTATGCCATCTTCAGGAGCAATTTTTTGAATCACTGAAAGCCATGATGAATTTTTGGTGGATGGTCAGAGATTGAGAAAGTATGATAGGGGACCGCAGATGATCTAATCAGACTGTGATTACTTCATCACTCATTACTTTACCTCACACCATCTCCTCTACTTTCATCACTATTCTCGCCACTTCACCCTGTCAATATCACAGTCATTATCGTCGTTTATCTCTCCAATCATTACAGTTTATTTATAATTCCCTATCATACTTTCCATAATCCCTGACCCTCGATCCAACCACCGAAAAGTTAATCATGATTCCAAAAGGTGTTCTCGAAGATGGCATAACGCTGAAACGTTGAACATCATCGCAATATTTCTGACTGCGCAGATAATCTTCTGATTACGACATAACCTCCCTCTTTTATTCACCTATTGACGCCATGCGCCTTATAAATGAGGAGAGCTTCCAGCAATCGTTAAACGCCTCTTTTTAGTGATAAAACTGATGCTGCAACTGTTAGTGACGAGGATAATTGTGAATAAACCACATAATATTTGTAACTAATCATACTGCATTAACGATATTGGTACACCACTCGGTTTCAAGCAAAACTTTCCTCCGTGAACGAGAATCGAACCCGCGACGTACCAATTACCGGTTGGGGCTCTACCTCTGAGCTACCGCGGAGATCGTTCAGTCTCTACCGAGTGGTTGTGTTAAAATCGCAGTCAGTTCTTCAGTGCACATAATGCGAAACTGATCTGATGAGCGTCAAACGCTACAATCAGAGCGAACTGATCTGTTCGCGATCACGATAGCACAAGGAATAATAACGGATAACTGGATAATAGATATCTATTATCCAGTTATCTGTTATTAATCATACTGCGTTAACAAATTATACACTGCGAATGATTTCATTCAAAGTGGTTGGCATCCTTCGATGTATTTAAGAATTGGTGAATTTTGCCCGCCCAATGAACAACATTTTTTCTCTCTTCAGTGGACAACAGTTATATATTTTTTATAATAAGTGAACTAAAAAATGCAATGCGAATTTACAATCATTGTTCCATTCACCATTACTTTTTCCAATATCAATACTTCAACAGCCTTTTCTCTTTCTACCTCAAACAAAAACAAGCGTTCGAAAAAACTCAAATAATCTTCCCTACCAATGCGCATAACAATTCGAATGTCATAAATCAATGAAACAAAAAACGTAACAAACCTAACTATATAATGAGCATCATTGCACTAGTTGTTTCGAAACGCATTAACGCGATACGCTTTTAACAATGCCGACTACCCACTGAACGTTTCATTCTTTTTTAAAGTATGAACACTAATCAATACCACAGAATAAAGTGCATATTCAAAGCCATTCATCCATAACAGTGATAATATTAACAACAATAATAATAAAAGCAATCATCTTAACGTAAAATAAACAGAAAGTTATTCAATCGTTTAACAATTATGCTACTTATTTCGCCACCAAATTCATGACAGTGTGCTGTCAGCAGCGATAGAAAAGGGATTATTGGCTGAATTTTAAATGAAGATTCAAATCGAAAGAATATCTGATACAAAAAAATCCTACTACATTCCAATCAATCAATACTGTTCACCTATCATTTCATATGATCAATCCTGTTCAACATACGTGTATATATTCTGATAATTATATACGTGATGTTTACACATTCACAACGCTTCTCTTATATGTTCCTCTATGTTATTGAATTATTCTTCAAACATCGCACATTCCACAACACACAACACGATTTCGTTATTATTCATTCATCTCCATACTTTCATTCCTACCGTCAATTTGTTCTTATCTTTTTTTAATACTTATGATTACTTCATCATCAATGTATTATCACATGACAACACTTATTATATTTCCTGTACACGTGGAAGATGTACCTAATTCTGTGAATAAATGTATGATATTCGTTAAATAACAAATAAAAGATTTCAGAATATATCAAACACTTCTGGACAGCTAACTTGAAGGATCAGCAGTGAATCAGTATCGTTCAACAACCTAGTCTAGACACTTTCACACCATATCAACTATAATGCTGATATCGATTGGGCTTCGCTTTACTGCTGTGTTCTGACGAAATTTCGATTAGAAATTCAAATTTTCAATAAGTTTGAAGGTATAACTCCAACGAATCATCACCTGGCCACAATCCGACTGTCAGTGCTGACAAAGACAAAGTAAAAAGAGAAGCAAACAATTCCTTCTCAAAATTCAAATTATACCAAATAATCAAACGCCAATCTGTTATTCTCATAATGCCAACTTGTCCCGTATGTAAAGACCAAACAGTTATCAAACAATTCACATATCGTGGTATCCTCTATGCTATTTTTTGTTTCCCGTGTGGTTTATATTGTTGCCTCAAAACTAATCGACAACTCTACTGTCCAGTATGCGGATGTCAGGTTACTTATTTCCTATTTATTCATTCATTCTAGCTTTTCTTGTTCAGATCGTTTCGTCGAGTTAATCACATAAATTACTATCCATGTAAAGGAAAGTAATAATACAAAAGTAATCATGAATATTTCTATAGAAAATGATGATGAAAAATGTAAAATAGACTGATGAATGTACACCTTTTGTCATTGGAATAAAGAAAAACAAACTACGATTATAACGAACTGTAATAAGTCAAATTCAGTAATGAATCGAACTAAAACTGAACTTTTACTGGCGGATTTGAGTTTTTAACAAAAAAATGACGAAATTCAGGTGATCTACTCAACAGGTGAAATGCCACTGATAGCGAATCGCTATCGTTTCTATAGTTCAACATCGACATCATCAACGAGGCATCATCAAAAATCAAATAAACAACAACCACATCAAATAAACACATCAAATAACCTAACTAATAATACAACCCAAAATCATGATATTCCGAGCAACCCAACCGCTTCATCTGCTCATCAAACAACTAATTTATAATTAGTAACGCAACTCATCAAACATCAATTACCTTATTATTTTTTAAAACGGCTTTTTTGAACGGTGCAAAACCGCGCTTTTTCGAATTGATCATTTAATTGAATATAATCATGCGCTTCATTAATGTTCACCTGATAAATTGCTTCTTTCAACTGTGCTAATCCAGATATTATACGAAACGATATGATTTGTTTCACTGCTCATCGCTACATAATAATCCTTTTCAAATCCAAAGACATGCTCAAATGATATTATCAGCAATAGATGATTTCTGTCTATGTTACGATGTCGAATGCGTTTCTTAAATGCAATCCATGACTTACCGTTATTTCGTCTATCCATTTGTTCTTTTTCTTGTTCCAACGCTCTTAATTTTGTTTCGAATGCTTTCGATTTGATTAATTTTCGACTTTCAACTTTTGAGGCACCCAACGAATCTCGTAATAATCCAATATGCTCTTCAAAAATAACCACGTCTGCTTCTAGCACATCTATATATTCGTCTTGTGCCTCTATTGCTTCTGAAAGAGAGAAACGAATAAAAATATGACCATATTGAAATGTATAATACAATCGATAATATGTATATTATTCATTTAATGAACTGTGTTACATATCCACTCGCTGAGTCATCCACACGTTTACAAAGTACAATCCTCCGCTCATTGTTTATATAACTAAAAAGAATTACTACTAAATTCGCTATATTACCAATACAATGATGTTGTGTCAAAACTGCAGTTTCCCTTTCCGAAAATGCCCAGATTATTAAAAAAAACTGCCTCCTAAATTCACAATTTACTTCAATCTAGTATCAACATGCTTTAAATTATTTTTTCATCGCCATTATACAAATTATTACTGCTATCATTATCTCTGATACTGTACCATTGAAAATTAATGCAAATAAGAATCATCCCAACATATTATTATATTACTGCAAAATTAATTCACATAAGTAAATCAGCGAAAGCTAATGGCCAAGGTCCAAAACGAAATGAAACAAGAAGAAATGAAGATGAAAACAATGAACTGTGATCGATTCGTCACCTTTCAATCGATCAACATCGTCTAAAATCGAAATTTTTTGTTCAAACAATAAATTGGCCATTCTTTGTGCTTCATCAATATCCTCGTTCAATTTCACGATTAAATTATCACTTTTAGCCACTTTTGCACGTAAATCCTCACATTCGATACGCGATTCATCCAACTCTTCACACAATTCTTTCACTTTCTCCCTTCAATAACAAAAGCAATAAATTGCATGCTTTTAATAAGATAAATTTAAAATGCTTGTATAAAATTTGTTTTCGTTTTTTTCTCTCCGAATCGACAGCATTTAGCTAAAATAACTTTAGATGACATCTATATTGCACGTATAACGTAGAGTTGAATACAACTGTTCATAGTGCTCGTGATCAAATCCTCGAAATTGTTGATGAACAAATTCATGTCGGCGATATGTGTGTACATGTTGATACATGAAACTGATATGAAGATGCAGATAACAATACAAAAAGAAGTATAGTTAAAGAATACTTCACAGTCAAACGATCTCATGAAAGGAACTCACTTATTTGAAGATAACTGTTCCAAAAGACGTGCATTTTCTTCTAACGTCCACTCACGATCACCCCTTAATGTTTCAACAGATGCGTTCAGTTTGTCTATCTGAAACTATTATTACTGAATTCATTTAGAATATCAATTGTTCGTAAGGAATGAAATATAAGTGTACTACATATTCATAATTGATGCGAAACAGTCAATTTTTAAAAAACACATTCACATAGATAAAAATCAATGAATTCAGAACCTTATCAGTGCTCTCTTCTTGCATGACAGCTATTTTCTCTTCTAAATCTCTTATTCGTCCTTGTGCAGCTGCACGTGCTTTCAATGCTTGATTTTTTCCATCTCGTCGTACTTGCTCCATTTCTTCATTCAACTATAAGCAGAAAAAATCATCGCGAAAATCCAATAATTTTGACACTCAAATAATCAACAAAAACAATCGCAAAATGCAATATTACCTGTTCAATTCGGGACTGAAGTTCATGTTCGGCGGATGATTCCATTTCTTGAATTGTATGACGTAACTGATCGTTTTCGGTGGTCAAATCAATGATCGCCTGTGCGATTTCATCGTTCATTGATGTGGCGTTGTTCACATCTGAAAAGAGTTACACTTATCATTCATGTAACAACACCATAACCACATTACGACGACAACAATAATTCTAAGAAATGGAACGGCATACCATGCGTTGTGTCATCAGTCTTTGGTGTTAGGTCGAACGTAACTTTTTTCCGATGTTTTCGTTGTTTTGTTGAATCGAAATGATTACTATTATTTAGTTGTGGTTGAATTGATATTGGTGCATTATCACTGTTATTTGTTGCTAATAACACCGCAACATTCTTTGATTCCATCTCCCCTCCTTCATCGAGCAAAGTTACTGTTTCAGTTGTATATGAACTACGATCTTCGCTTGGATCTAGTGGCGGTGGTGACGAGGACGACGACAATCCTGATAGAAAGCCATTTTCAGTTTCACTGATATCAATAACGATTCAGTTTCATCAATCCATCTTTGACTAAACCAATCAAATGAACACAACGAAAAAGTTACTGAACCTAATTCGAATAGTAAAAGTAGACAGACCTGAATTAATTTGCACAACAGCATGTCCAGGAGAGACTGTTTCTCTTAGTGAACGCACTGCAACAGCACCACTACCTTTGAGCGACGACTCACGACGAATCGATGGTGATAATCCACTGCCAACAGCTGATCGAGACGTTGATGTTTCCGAACGCTCAGTTATATCTGTTTCGGTGGATACGTCCCTGGTAGTACGAGAATCAATCTCCTGAAAGCAATTATCAAATTCATTCGAGAGAATAAATCAATGAATAGCGGATAATCAGTAAGTAGAACGGACCAAAAAGCGTTGCTGAACGATCTGAAAAGCCCTTGCTTTCGCTTGCACCAATTGACCTTGTTCACGACACATTTCTTGAAGATCAAGAATTTGACGTTCCTTATCCAGTATTGTATTATTTAGTTCCATTATTCGAGTATCCTTAAATCATGTGAAGTTGAGATGGTGACCGAACGAAACTGACTTTAAAAGATTTCGAAATTCTATGTTGGAACCTAACTCCGAAAATTTAGGGTCGGAATTCCTATTTTGGAAACCAGCCGAACTTCATCGATTTTCATCGACCAAACTTTGGTCAGTTGCAATCATCAACGTAAAGTTAATGAGCATAAGAGAGAATGAGTTATATCTAAGCGATTTTTTAGATATCAGATCGAAAGGAAAACAGTGAAAAATAAAAGCATGATGAACGAATGGTACCTTGTAAATTAACTGCGCATGCATGCGGTCCAAGTCTCTACTAACGATTTCTTCTATATCAGCCGGATGTTTCTGGTGTTGTCGTTGTTGAAGCCGATCTTCACTACTAATACTACTGTTACGTCGATCTAACGCCTGTCCAAGTTGTTCTTCCAAACTCTTCAAAAAATACCACTTGATCGATCAATGCTCAGTGTCATTACCGTTGTAAACAACAACAACATCTCGTTGCCGACTGATCAAGACAATCACACTATGTAAATCTAACACGTGGTCGGTGTGTCATAAGAAACAACGCTAAGAAATATTGGAAAGAAACAAAACTTGTCATCAATATGAATGAAAAAATAGTAATATGAACGAAAAACAATAAAAATGAAGGAGAAAGAATAAATAATAAAAGGATGAAATCGAATTTAACCAACTCGAATCCTTATCGCATGATCACTAAGTTCAATTTCTTTAGCAGCCAGCTTATTTCTTATAGTATCAGCTTCTTGTTGACTTCTATCCAATTCACCTTCTGTTTCTGCCAATCGAATCAACAATGCTGAGCGTTCTCTCTCAAATCAAACTTAATATTATGTAATGAATTTTCAAAAGATACCCACTATCAATTGCGAATCAACTAGGAAAGATTATACGTAACTTTTAACCGATATATTCAGCACCAAATGACAAAACAATACCTTCCATGCTTGCTCATCAACTGTAACAGTATCGCTGATCGACTGCTTCAGCTGCGCTAAACGTGCTTTTGATTTCAATTTATATGCAGCAAATTTACTGTTCACATCCTGCAAATTTATACTCGAAAAGAAGGCAACTCTTTTCAATTATTCAATACAGCCAAAACTCACTCCACAAATATTTCCCAGCACTACTTCATTCATAAAATAAGATTCTTGTTGACATAACTTATTGCAATACAAAACTGGTAAAGTTAAATAAGAATACACACGTAAACTGAACTACATGCTACTGAGGTACAACAGGATCGAAAGTACGTACTTTAGATAAATGGGAATCAACACAGTAAAAAATATTATTGATAATTACCTTAAGTTCATCATCTTTAAGAGCCAACTGAGCTTGAAAGCTCGTACAGGCTTGACAGACCATATTAGAACACGGTATTTTTGACGTGTGGCTCAGATCCGATTCAGATAGCTGTCAGTCGTGCCTACCGATAATTAGAAGAGACTCTGGATCAATCCAAACCCTCTAACAGCTTAGTGATTTAGAGACTTGTTGAACGTTGCTGATCATGGAATCGGTAACGAAACTAAGCACCGCTTGAAAATAAATTCAACTTTTAATTAGAATAATAATGATATCATGAACCATTAAGAATATCACGTAATAATCAACGATTTCAATATCGAATCATAGAACAGGATAACTAACATTAGCGATAACGGAACAAACGGTAACTATTTATTTAACCGAAAACATGGTGTTTTATGAGAGTGACGTCGCCACCTCGTGCTATTCTTCTTATGCAATTATAAGTCTGAGTAATAAATCCGCCTTCCAAACCCTAAAGTCTCCAACCACCACCCCTGACGGGTCGTTGCAAAAATGCCTTGAGGGCATACCATTCCACCTTCTCAAAACTTCCTGCTTATGGCACAGCGCCAATCAGCTGCCAACAACATAATACCGAAATGAGAAGTGGCGTTTCAAGACTAACTTCAGATCACCTATTGCTGCGCAAATTTGAGAGAGCGATACAGATAAACATCAAATCATCGCACACTGATGCTAGAAATGCGAAAAAGAATAACAATTGGCAATAATAGCAGAAATGTTGGTACTTTGAATGACCAAAGGTGCATTGCACCGAGACGTTTCGCGAAATCATGTAACTACGCATTAATTTGGTCACCAAAAGTAGCATTATTATTATTATTATTATTATTATTATTATTATTATTATTATTATTATTATTATTATTAT